TGGCAGCTATTAGATATAATTGTGTTGATTAGAAAATATATTTTTATGAGGAATAGCGTAGTTTACAAGACAATTGGTTCTAGCACTTGATGTTGAGGGTACATGATATTATATCTAATAAATTATTAGGGAGTCATCCATGTACCAAGTTCTTAGGAAATGTTGAAGACTTTAAAATCTTCTAGGGTGCATTGTTGTCATTAAAGATAAAGTTTGTAGACTTCATGCTATGTGGTGTGTCTTCAAAAAGATTTGCTTCAAATTCTTATCATTGTTGTTAGAACATTGTGATTTTAAGTAGAAAAAATGTTATCTTCTTAGATGTAGGCCAAGTTCTCGAACAAAAGAGAGTGCATGTTGTGATGAAGATACTGAGGATGTTTAGATGAATCAATCTTATATTTCATAGTCTATGCTATTGCTAGGTTGTTCCATTGTAGCTTTTAGAGCAAAGAACAGATGGTTTTTGGATTTGAAGATTTAGGAGCACGCGTTTTATGAATCGACAAATCTTAGTGTGCAACATTTTCTTTTGAGGTCACTTGGGAATGCTTAGTTCATGCATCTTTTCTGCTTGTTGAAGTGGCACAACGGTAAATCTTTTAAACCTTTGGGAACTTGAGCTTGATTTACAGAAGAGATATAATGAAACTTTGAATGTATTGCCTTAGTATTAAGAGAGATTTTTCTAAAATTTTGACCCAATATTATAGTCCATAACATAAATTTTAAAATATTTCAGGATAAATATTAATTATTTTTTATTTGGGATGAAATTAGTCTTTAAAGTTAATCATTTTGTTTTGTTTTGTTGGATATCTCCGGTCAAAATTTAAAACTGTTTTAATTTTGAAATCCACGTTCTTAAAACTCCTAAAATAAAAAACCAATAAGTAGTGTTGAGTATGAGTTGCGATTCTTAATGAGAAGAGTTAGTGAGAATTCATTGCGTCAATGGGTTCTGTCATGGGGTTTTGGTTTAGAGAAAAAGTTGGGTAAAAGAAATAATTAGGAGTAGGAAATAAGAAGAAAAAATATAATCAATAAAAGAACCTAAAGAAAAAAAAATGAAAGCCTTGATGGTGGAGAATTATTTCGACATGAAAAAATTTATATTACGTCCATGTACAAAAATTTAAACATACGTTACAAACTTCTCCTAAGATTTTCTCCAAGCACAATGTAGTTGCTATTAAATTTTTTGCCTCCATCTTTAGCAAGCACATTTGCTTGTTTTATGACTTCCTTCATAAGTAGTTGGGACTAGAAAATGATGCATGTTTGTTCTTCAAGCCTAAAGCTCTTTGAGCTTTTGCTTTTCTTAGTCTCAAATTTAATCACCATTATATTCCTCATTTGCATATAATAGCAATTTTTAAGAAACATTTAAAATTTTTACATAGTGCTTATTAAGAGGCAAGTGTGAATATAATGAAACAAAAACTAATACTGCAAGAGATCAAGAACCACAGAGGATAAACCAATATTTTTGTAGTTTGGCAACTATTTTCCTATTTTTACAATTGTTTAAAGTGATATCTGTTTCCTTTAGTTTTTTCCTTAATGTTGTTCTAATTTGACTCCTTTTTTCCAAGATTTTTTCTTCAACATGTCCTCATTTTTTATTACAAGTCTCCCTGCCACAAGGTGCTTCTAATTATATAGGAAGGAAAGTTTGTACTGATAGGTGCACTTTTGGCAAGTTTAGATTTATTTCGGTGTGTTACAGATTGTGGCTCAACTCTTTGGGGATTTGTGTGCTTAAGGTTCTTGTTTGGAAAGAAATCATAAAAGATCTATGATACATTGACATTTTTTTCGATATTAGGGGAGTCTAGTTATAGTTTTTATTTAGTAATTTATTTAGGTTAAGTGGTGAAACTTGAAATAGTTTATTTTAGGATAGCTATAAATTAGACTACTTTTTGGGATAAAATTAACTTTGCAAGATTTTAATAGTATTTATTGTTTTGGAAAGCTCCAGTTCAAAAGTAACTTTAAATTAAATTTGAAATCCATCTTCTTAATTGCTTATAAATAAGTGATAAGTAGAAATAGTTGAATATGAGCTTTAGGGTGCATATTAGGAGAGTCCGTGGGAATTCGTTGTGCTGATAGGGTTCTTCTATAATGGGCTTTTGGCTAAAGAGAAAAGGCCAGGTGAAATAAATAATTAAAGAGTAAGTCAAAAGATAGATAAGAGAAGAATTAATGAGTGAAAAGAAGAAAGAAAATTTATTTGATTATGAAGAAGTATCTTTTTTTTGGCAAGCATAATGGTACCATAAATATTGTTATAATTCCATTGGCAGGTGCGAACCAATATTTTTTAAGAGCATTAAAGTTAAGAATTTCTATTATTATTTAACATTTATTTAGATTTAATCTCAAAATAGTTCCTCGACTATTCTTTTGTCTCCATCTAACCCGTGAGTATTACAGTTCTCCATTTTATTTTCTTGACTAAATGAAGCTGATCCAAAATTGTCCCTCTTGTAAAATTTTTTATTCCAATTTGATCTTATTTTAGTTCCCCATTTATATGAAAGCTATTCCAATGTAGTCAATGGGGGATATTTTGGATCTATTTTATATAATTGATGGACTAAATTAGAGAAATATGATACTCTGATACTAAATTGACCTCATTCGAATAGTTGGGATACTATTTTGGAGTTTAACCATATTTTCTATGTTTATTATCAATCTTTTATGATTTTTTTTGTTTTGCTTAATTTGAGAATTAAGAGATTTGCGGTTTTTTCTTGTTTGGTGAGATTAAGGGTCCGTTTGGGGCAGCTTATAAGAGAGATTTGCGGTTTTTTCTTGTTTGGTGAGATTAAGTGTACTTGAGTTTGCAAATTAATGTTTTTGTGTGTCCTTTTTTTACATGTGCGTGCTTCCTAAAATTTCTATTGATTAGAGCTTTAGCATAGAAAGTTGGTTTTCTGGGAGTGATATTCTGTGGAGCTTTCCCTGCGGTCGGCCCGCGGACCACGTTTCAGGATAAGCAGCTTTTCCTGAATCGCACAAGCTGCCCCAAACGGACCGTAAGTGTACTTGAGTTTGCAGATTAATGTTTTTGTGTGTCCTTTTTTTACATGTGTGTGCTTCCTAAAATTTCTATTGATTAGAGCTTTAGCATAGAAAGTTGGTTTTCTGGGAGTGATATTCTGTGGAGCTTGATATAGAAAGTTATAATGTAACTGTGCATGTTTGTGGATACATATATATGATATAATATTATTTCTATGGATGTTTGAATACATATATGTGTATATATGTGTGAAAATGCACATACAGGTGTAAATACGATATATCTAGTTAATTTCGAGTTGGATCTAAATAATTTCAAGTTTATTTTATTTGAGTTGAAACAATTCCTTGAGTTGATTATAAGTGAAGCGATGTATTTCAGGTTTTGTACATAATTATCTGCTGTAAGTTTTTTATGTAAAAATATGCACTTATTATGTGCTATATAAAGCTAAGGTCGAGTTGACTATATGTAAACTAATGGATAAAATTTCAAGATGATTTACAAAGTGCACGACATAAAATTGGACAATTATAAAATATAGGTTTTCCTAAAATGGACATGTACAACTAGGTGTAGAAAAAAAGTTATTAGATGGCTACCTAAAGTAATGCTCATGGTTTATGAATGAGTTGACTTGAGATGTAGCATTGATATAACTTAAAAAAAATTTGCAAAGAATAAGTCGAGCATTCCTTGCTAGACTCAGTAGGAACATATGAAAAATGAAAATTCATAAATCGAACCCCAAGTAATTGGGATAAGGCTAATATTGATGATGATGAATTTTTGTATGGGATAGCATTTGTCTTATATTTCTGATTTACAATTTTGATAATTTTTTGGTTCTACTTATGATTTATGTAGCTCCGACACTTCTTAAAATGTGTCGTACCCATGTCAAATATTGACACTTGTTTGACATGCAACACATATCTGACGCTACAAAATATATTTCGGAATTTTTTTGAGGCTCGAACATGGTCAAGACACATCTCAACACCCCATCAGACATGAGCTTAACACAATTTTGAGAAAATAAGACACGTAAATTAGAAACTTATAACTATACGTATAGCTTTAATTATACATCGTAGTTGAAACTGTCCAATCTCTTGTCATGTTCAAGCTCTCTCTCTAACAATCTTCAAAATTGAGCATCGAATGTGCATTCAAATATTCGTTGAATCCCCGACATTTCTCTGAAACTACAAAATATTTGTCTACATTTTTTTCAGGCCCGAACACGTCTGAGACACACCTCAACATGGCATCAGCGCGAGCTTAACACGATTTCAAAAAAATATGACACAAGAACTAGAAAATTATAAAAATGCGTATAGTTTTAATTATACCTTATAGTCGAAACCCGAGACACACCTCAACATGGCATCAGCCCGAGCTTAACACGATTTCAAAAAAATAGGACACAAGAATTAGAAAATTATAAAAATGCGTATAGTTTTAATTATACCTTATAGTCGAAACCGCCCCATCTCTCGTCATGTTGAAGCTTCATCTAACATTCGTCAAAATCGAGCATCGAAAGTGCATCAAATATTCGTCAAAGCCAAGCATTTTTCAGACCCAGGCATGTCCACACACACCTGAACACCGCATCAAATATGAGGTTAACACTTTCGAAAAAAATGGACATGAAATTTAGAAAATTACAAATATGCATATAGTTTTAAATTATACCTCAATGTCGAAACCGTCCCATCTCTCATCATATTAAGGCTCCCTCTAGCATTCATCAACATCTAGCATCGAAGGTGCATCCAATCTTCCTTGAAGTCGAGAATAACGTTGAACATTTTTTCGTTATTTTATACAACAACTGACTTTACCAAGAATAACGTTGAACATTTTCTGCCACACTCAATAGTTTTGTATGGGACAGGCGCCTCTTGCCATGTATTTCCTTGTTTTACAGTTTTGATAAAATTCTGATATTATTTAGGAATGACGTTGAAATAAAATTCCCTATCGCTGATGCAAAACCGAGCATGCCTAAAGAAGTATCTGAAATTGAGCAGCAGATCAAGTTAATGGATTGGAAGAAGGAGATGCTCTCTTCTGATATACTGCGTGAAGAGTCATTATTAAACTCGGCAAAATGTTTGCTAAAAGCCAAGTCTGATGAATATAGGAAGCTCATCAACGAAGAACTGCTAATTAAGGGACGAAACTCATCCCCTAGGCCAATCAACACAGGTAACACATCATGTAAAAAAATGATTTTGTGCATTTTCATAGCTATTTCTACTTTGTTACAAACCTGACGTATAACATGCAATTCTTCATTATCACGAGTAGGGCTGTCAAAGCAGCTTGTTCACGAACATCTCATGTTCGGTTCGTTAAAAAACCCGTGTTCGATTCGTTTGCTAAGTTTACGAGCTGAACATGAACATTTTTTGTGCTCGATATATAAACAAGCCGAACACGAACAAAGATTTGTTCGTTCGTCTTCGGCTCGTTTTGACTCGAAATACTACTCATCAATTCAATGAAAATTATTAATAAAATATATTAAATTATATTTAAATGATGTTTTAGTATAAACAATAAGATTTAAATCTTGACCCAACCCTTAACATTCCATGGCTGTGTGATTAAGATTGTCAAAACGACTCTTTGTTCGTGAACAACTCATGTTCGGCTCGCTAAGCAAACGAGCCAAACACGAACACACTTTTTGTGTTTGAAATATAACACGAACAGTAATATTTTATAATGAGCCGAACACGCGCTGAGCCTGGGCTTTCTCGTGTTCCCTGAACCATATATTATCATTTGGAAATATGATTTAATGATTGATTTGCTGCTATTTTTTTGGGCAAATTGTAGGCTTTCTACTACACGACGACGCAAGACGACAGTAGGTCTATTTTCTTGGTATTGGAGTTTCAATGGTGCTCCTTTATTGGAAAACTTGAATGATTTCCTGTCATGCTGTTATAATCTCGCCAAAACGGGCTCACAATTTTGGAGTGAGTTCTGTGTAATGAGAGGTGCTGAAAATTCTGCTATTCTTTCTGCAATTTATCTGACAATATTTATAATTTTATTTAAAGAGTAGAGCTTCTTGTTAACCCTTGTAATCTCTTGTTGGAGAAATGTGATGGTTGTAATAGCCCCTTATTTGGCAGCATTATTGGGATTGAAAAATTAGTATCTTTTGTTCTTCGAGATAGTTTTGGCACAGCTTGCTCATGACATATGATGGTTTTTTGTTTTGTATGGAATCAAACGACATGGATTGGCCAATCACCAAAAGGCAGTTTTAGGCACAGCTTGCTCATGACATATGATGGCTTTTTGTATAGAATCAAACGACATGGATTGGCCAATCACCAAAAGGATGCATGATATGAAGCACTTTGTCTATTTAGAATCAATTCCGGGTACTAAAAGGAGTGGATGCTCTTCTACTATAAATAGGAGGTTAGGAAGCCTTCGTGGGTAGAATTGTCAAAAACAAATTTTTGCTTGTGAATAACTCATGTTCGGCTCGTTAAGTAGCTCAGCTCGAATCGTTCTTTAAGTGACCTGAAAAGAGATAAATTTTTAAAGCTCAAATTATAAACAAGTTAAATATGAATAATCCTTAGTTCGATAGTGTTTGGCTCAGTTTAGCTTCAAATAAGGAAATTATATATATTATTTATGTAATAATATATTGTATATTTATATCTAAGTTTAAATCACCATAGCGTCTTTTATTGCATGGGAATGTTGTTGGTTCGTATCCAATATCTTACATCTATTTTTCTAATTAATTTAAATGAACCAATTTTGAGCTGAACACGAACTTAGGTTTTCTAAATGGGAACTATTTTTAAAATATTTTGGAGAGCCAATGTTGCTAAATTTAAAGAATTATTACTTTGGAGTAACCTTTTGAGTTAGTAATTTTATGGATATTTTCTTGAGGGAGAGCTAGAGAAGGAGCTCGTGTTGGAACTTTTGGAGAGGAGTTTTGGGTAGAGCTTGTAAAGCTTTTTTTATAAAAAAGTGTTTGGAGTATTCCACCTACATTTTTAAGTTCTATTCAAACATCTTCTTTCCCATTGGAAGTATATAGAGGAGTAGGGAGAGTTGAGAAATTTGAGTTCTCTTGGAGGTTGAAACAACTCCTAAGAAATATGTGTCACCATCCCTCATAAATATTTTTCTCTTGCATGAAAGAACTTAGAGTGATGGAGAATGACCTCAAACTTCTTCTGAACACTTGGGAAGTTAATGAAAAGTCTAGAGTCAAAGTCTTGTAGTAGGAGAAAATAATTTTCATTTTATTGAAAGTTTGGTGAGGAATTTGAGGGATAATTGTAAAGAAGATATTCAACAAAGCAGCAAGGATTGAGATATCCTTTGGGGGAGGAATTTTCAGCACTTTGTAAAGGGAAAAAAATTAAGTATTGTGTATTCTTTTGTATTGTATTTTTTTGTAAACACAATTCTAGTAGATTTACTTTGTTTCAAAGATGTTTTGTCGTAATTTTTTCATGCTTTGTGAGTAGTTCTTCATACCTTTCCCATTGTGATAAATAAGTAGGTTGTGTGGGGATTTTAGAGTGCTTTTACTCTTTAATGTGATGATTTTCCTTTTGTATTTCATTCAATTATCATCTTGGCCAAATAATTTGTTAAAATCTGTTGTGAACCCATAATAACTCGAGAGAACTATGACATGAACAACTAGGAAGATTATGTTGAACTAGATTGTATGAAACAAAAGCAATCTATAAGAAAATGCATATGGATAGGAAAATAATCATTGATGGGTTCAAACTGGGGTTTAGAAAATTAAAACAAGTATAACCAAATTTCTTTATGTACTCAGGAGAGGGTAAATAAGAGAATCACTCATATTTGTCACTAGCCACAGTTACAATTTAATGTATTCATTTCCTGCACACTAATTATATCATTGCAAGGGAGGGTAGCTTCTATATCTTGATTTTCCCCAAATTCAAATATATTTAGTAGGATTTCTAGAGGAGTGGACCTTCAATAGTAGTTTGCTAGAATTTAGTAGGATCAATTAGAATAACCTAAACCCAACTTAACTTCTAAGCTAAGACCGATTTTAGTAGGCTAGAACTTTTCTTAAGTTAATTAAGTCACTCTCTATGGGATCGATATTCCGAACTAAAAATTTTAGATATTACTAATACAATATGTATACTTCCGTGAGACCTCTACACTTAGAATTAGGGTGTACCGAAGTGTTAGGCACTGCTGTAGGTCCTGGTCCGATCAGTCAGCTACCCATCAACCGATCAAACCATCCTTTATTGATTTACAAACAAGGGGTGAGGCCAATTGACCATCTTATATCACTCTTACCAATTTTGAGTCCGAGTGTGAGTACAAACCCAGTGTAGCATCTCAAAGAGGGGAGGTACCACATTGAGAGTGGAAAATCCTTCATTATCAATCTGATTAACCCACCACTGCTTCCCTCGTTAAGGAATTGAAAGGTTTCCCAAATTTCATGGGTTCCTTCGTAAGATAAGGAATCAAAGATGTGCCTAGCCCTTACGAGTGGTACGCCGTGATTTACATGAAGCTGGATTTTCATTCCGACTCATCGGTGGCAGTGGACTGCTATTTGATTATTGTTGAAGTCATCTAGTCCTGAGAGGTATTTGAGGAAACTTGACCATTCAAAACTTTATTAGTTGGTCGATTAATAACCTCTGATGTCCTAGGACGCTTCACACTATTATTCTATGGATCGTGACTGAGGAGAAAGGAAATGGTCTGACACCGAGGAGAAGGCAGAAGCCTCAGATGCTCTAGCGAAGGCAACAGGGAAGTGAGCAACAAATGAGAAGCTGTTAGAGGTGTTTGAGGCTGAGATACTTGATTGGTCAAAGATGTTGTCAGTTCTTTGGAAATAAAATTAAAACTTGAACAAAATGTTGATAATAAGAGTTTGTATACAGGCTTGCTCGACAACTCCAAATTGGCACTTCTATGGTGATTAGACAATTTGTAACGAAGAATCTCATTCACCCTAAGTGGTTTGCATGAATAAATTTGCAAATGCTCCTTTCAAACCCGAATGAAGAAGATGAAGAGGAGGAAGATGTCAGGGAAGAAGAGATAGAAGAAGATGACGTCAAGAAAGAGGAAAAAAGTTCTGAAGATGACCGAGGGTCTTCGAACACCTGTTTTCCTTGTTTTTTTCTATAATTAAAATTCTTTGAATAATTTGTACAACAAAGTAACTTTATGTGGAGAGATTTTTTGTAATCTTTTGTTCATGAAATGAAATGATGTGTTTTGGTTGGTTAATACCTTTATCTTGTGCTTTTTCACCGTTACTATATTTTCTTTATTTATATAGTTTCTTGCAAGGATTGTTTGTGGTGGTTATCCTTCAAGTCTTAGAAGAGGTTTTTTGGTAAAATTTGATGTGTTTATCGCTTGACTTAATTATTACACTTTAAATGTCCCATTTTTTTGGTTAGGTCATCACCTCGGACGGGCCACACCTATTGCCATACGTAATAAGCAAAACATGTTGTTGTCTTCGTGGGGATAGCCGTTGAGACTTATTGTTGGAGTGATTTGCATTCTTCTTATCGTGAATCTTGTCACTAATGAGTAAGGAGCCACCACTAGAGTTTGATATGTGTCGAGTTAAGAGACATGGGTTTTATTGATGCTTGGGCACTAAGGACCAATTTTTATGTACATTATTGATTGGATGTATTACATCGCCATCGATCATTTCAAGTATTTTTACTGATTAGACCTCTTTTTTCATTATCAATTTTGAATGGTTTCTACTAATCAAATGTCTTGCATCATTGTCAGTTTTGGAGGGTTTCTACCAATCAGTCATCTTGCATCATTGTCAAATGTTGTTTATCAAGTTCAAGTTTCTTGAGTATTGGCTAGACATTGATGCGTGCAAACTCCTTGAATTCCCAAATGTCGTTTGAACTTGGAATTACACACATAGTTAACCAACTCATGTTTTCAAATTTTTTTTGCAAAATTATAAGTTTTTGGAACAAAAATGCCTTTCTTATTTCTTACTCATGATGATACACCATATTTTCCAAGTGAAAGTTTTCTTATGGCTGTCCCCACTCCATGTTCGAGAGATTCCATTCACAGTGTAGGTTTTCAATTTGTATGCTCTAGGGGTGACTCTTTGGTTAATGATGAATAGACCAGTCCAAATTTGGTCTAGCTTATTGATCACATGTCTTCGTGTATTTGGGTTGACCTTCTTCAGCAAAAGGTCCCCGGGAGAGGTCTTATAGTAGAAAGTCGTTCTCCTTTTGACTTACTCCTATTGGAGAGCTGAATCAATCTACTTTTCTTCCATAAGATCGAGCACAAGCATTGTACATTTATTGTTTGCATTTTGTCAATCAGCAAATTTTCTTCATCAAATGATGAGGGCATAGTGATTATATTTGATGAGCAACATCGTTTCTATTCTTTGCTACAACATGAAAAGAGTATGCTCGACCAGTGTTGATGGAGTCGTCCGAACCAGCAATAAAATTGATGGAAGGATTAGACCCAATTTCATTTTACTCTTCGGAATTTGTTCTTTAGCACGTTTAAAATTATTTTATTGGTGGCTTTATCTTTCTTATTGGTTTGAGGATGATGTACAAACACAAATTTCAAGTTGATCTCCTAACTTCGGTAAAAACCACTTACTCTGTGATTAGAAAATTGCATCTCGTTATTAGTGACAATGATCATCAGTAGCCTGTAAAGATAAATAAGATATGTCTAGCTGAAGTTTTAAATGACTTTCACAGTGATCTGAGCGAGCACACTTACTTCGATCCATTTTGAGAAATAGTTCACGCTACTAATAGGAATTTGCATTGGCCTTTATATGTAGTAAAGGGTTTGAGGATGTCAAGTCCTCAGCTGGTAAAAAGCCACAAAATGATGATTGGTTGTAGCTTATGTGTCGGTTGGTATTGTAATGTTACATCTTTTGGTAGTGCTCGTATTTCTTAGATAATTATCCAACATCTGTCAGAAGTGTCAGCCAAAAGTAGCCTTATCATTGTACTTTGTGTGCTAAAATTTTTCCTCCATAGTGGCTTCCTCACTCCATGTATTGTGTTTCTTGGAGGACATCTTTATCTCATTCTCCCTTAGATATCGTAAGTATAGCAAAGTAACCAATTTTCAAAAAAACTTCACTTCAATC